ACAACTTGGCGGACGCAGTGAAGAAAAACCCTCCGGACTGCGCACTCTCAGCTGAGACGGACATTTACGCCTGCAATGCTCAGATGCTGGAACTGGCTGGTGAGGGCAAGGTGCAGATTGAAGCGCCTGAGGAGATGAGCGCCCCAACAAACAAGCGAGCTAGGCATGCGTAAAGCCGAGCTTTGGAAAGCTTATGAAGTGTTTGGTGGTGTTTTCAAAGAATCACGAATCAGTTGCCGACAGTTGCTTCTGAGGGATGTCCCTAACCTGGGTTGGGCGATTCAAGCCCTGGTTTAAGAAGGTTTAGCCACGAATTGCTTAAACAACCGTTTGGTTTCCCCGAGAGGGCCATGGTCTAATGGCTTACTCCCTTGCAAATTAACAGACATGGAGCCCATTGAAGGGCATCCCTCAAAAAAGGAGATTATGTCCAAAAAAATGTCCTTGTTGTGTTGCATGGTTGCATTCCACTGGAATTGGAGGAGGGGGTGAACCCGCTATGCTGATGGCATAGCTTTGCCAGGCAGGCTTGTCCTCGCAGCTTATACCTTGGCCTAAAAAGGGTTCAGGGCGGAATGGGGCATGCTCAAGAACCTGCAGCTGTTTTGTTTGTGCGCCTTGCGCGCCTGCACTGGCTTTGGGGGGTTCATGACTGCGTGTGTTGGGTGGCCAGTCTGGGGCCAACTCCAACCGGGTGGCCGACGTTGCTGAAGCGGAATTTCCTTACCTTAAGGGGCAGGGGGGCCCCAAGTCCAGAAATGCATGGATTCGGACGGATGGATGGATGGATGGATGAAGCGACCCGCAGCGCTCTGTGCCCGCTCAGCACTGCATAAATGCCAGCCAAATTCAAGTGCACCCGCTCAGCGCTGCACACCCAGCGAACACCGAGCACCCGCAAGTGCATCCTCTGAGCAAGGCACGCAATGCACACTTGCCACATCTTGCCACATCCGACTGTCTGCTGCACATGCGCACGTATGTAAGGCTAAGGCTTCCGCTTCTAGGTTCCTGGGCCACACCTTGTAAGGTTCCACTTTCAGGCCTTGTTTCAAAGGCCAGGGTAGTTTTTCGAAGCAGACCGTCAAGTTTCCGAAGCAGACCTAGATAGTTTCCGAAGCAAGTGTCTTTCCGAAGCTCCATTTAAGGTAGGCGGGGGATTCTAAATATGTTATCAAAACCACTTGCAGATTCCCGGGTGGTTGCGGACAGGACGTGTCTTTCCTGGGGGTCACGGCGAAGCTGGGGGCGCGCATCATCCTGGCGCCATCCTTTGCGGTGTCCTTGGAGGACATGAAGTCGAAGATCAAAGGCCCGATTCGCGCGCCGCTTCGCGCGTCGCCATTGGTGGGGGAAACCCATGGAAGCGATATGCGACTATGGAAAGCGCAGGGCACACGGAAGCCGCGCACCAAATGCCAAATGACTGGGGTAGTTCATAGAGTACAAGTCGCCAAATGCTTTGCTTAGGATCCACCTGGCAAAGTAGATAGAGGTGTACAAATCAGCTAGTTGCACATGTGCATTGTCAAGAGACCGGTTTCTGTTATCGTGTTGGTAGGGATGCCCATTGGGTACTCAATAGAGAGACCGGAGGGTTGCCTGCTCTTGGTGAGCAAAACCACGGGGTACAGATCCACGGCGCACAGTAGATGATTTACGGGGGTGTAAGACAGCCCTTTTAAGCTTTAGCCACCCAAGTTTGGGGGCTATCTCTCCCGGCGGCCTTGAATTGTGGGTTTTGTGCATTGAATTCCTGGGGTCAATCCTTCATCCTTTTGCGGCTGGAAGGACTTACTGCGGGGGGGGGGGGGGTCGGGAGGAAGCTTGGTTCCCACGAATGCCTGGCTGCCTGGGGTGTTCAAGATCACAATTTATGCCACATGGTAGTGGCTCCCCCTGCCGCAGTGGCGCCCCACTATGGATTGGGATTAGAGATCCCGTCCCGTGTTGGCCTTGAAACTTGTTTTTGTTCCCTCATTCCTGTGTTGGGTTCTTACTTCGCCCTCCTCTTCCTGCTTCCTTGTCCTTTTTCCTCCTTCCTGCTCCCTTCTCCTTTCTCCTCCTTCCTCCTTCCTCCTTCCTCCTTCCTCCTTCCTCCTTCCTCCTTCCTCCTCCTTCCTTCTTCTTCTCCTTACTTGCTCTCACTCACTCAACTTACACTCGCTAACTTGTGCATGTATATGGTTGGCTCACTTCCTGTTTTGCGTCGCAGGCGCAGTTCTATAGACTGGCTTGCGCGGTGTGCTGTCCCACCACTGGATTCATCAAGAAGTTTACCATTCTTGGTATGCAAATGCACACACTAGAACCGGTTCCCATTCCACCGCTGGGCGCTAATTCACTGGGAGTGACGGTGGCAGCCAGGATGTATCTGTTCAGGGGAAACATCAAATTATATCAAATTGATAGAGTTTTTGCCACAAGGCAAGGTGCACCAGCAAGTTTGTTTAGTGACAAAATGCTTGTTCACGGGCCGTAGAGGTTGCCCCTTTCACATTCGGAGCCTGCATTGGCTGTGAATGCACAGCATTCACCCTACCGCAGGGAAGCCGCTGGTTTTGCGCGTCAAGAGTAGCTCTCACCAGCCCTGCCCCAAGAAAAGGACAAGTGTTGCATTGCCAGATTCAATCATCTCGCACATATGTAACTTTTATCCTGCCTTGTTGCCAGGCTTGGGCATGTGCGGTACTTCCATGAGCTAGAGGTACAACAACTACCACCACTCGCACTCGGCATATGATTCGCTCCCCAGCCCAAAGGCGTCTCCCCCTGCATAGCGCCTAATGCTCAAAGCGATGCGGGCTTGAGCTTACTAGCTGCCCAGCACATTGGCAAGACACCGCACTTGATGATGGAAGGTGTTTGGAACTATCAGATCCAGAAAGCCGCTTTCCGCATGCACCATATGCAGCCATTCCGGCGTCCCAAACGCATCCCTTGTCCGGGGCCCTCGGGCTCCTTAACATAAATGGCTACGAATCTTGATGGGGACTTGAGGGGGGTGGTGGACATAAAATCCCCACCTAAACAATATCCACAAGAAGAAAACAAACAAACAAAACGACAAAGTTGTCCACCCCCCCCCCACCACAAAAAACGGAAAAGAAAAGAACAAACATCGCATGCCAAGAAGGTCATTCACGCTTTGGGTCTCAGGCAAAGTCAGCATCTCCAAAAAGTCCGAGCTCCTCATCGACGGCCAGGTGGTGCTGAACGACCTGGACCTGGATGGTGCCATGCGGATTTGCGCCTCCGGGGAGCTGCCCAGCAAGAAGGTGGCGAAGCTTGGAGCTTCTTTTGTTGTGTCAGAATTGTATGGGTGGTTTCCCCAACCAACCAAACCCAACCGGTTTAGGTGTCAGAACCAAATTTGGCTGGTTTTCCAATTTTTGCGGCTTCCCGCAAGCAAACCCATGGCCCTGCTTTCCCCGAGCCAGTCATTTTTGCGTTGATCTCCACTTTAGCTCTTGGTTCATTAGTTTTTTATTAGCGCCACAGAACTGGTGGGGGTAGGAAATCTCTGTGAGTTACAGGTGGAAGTGGATGCAAGCGTATTTTGTGTAGTCATCCTCTTTAGGTACCCAAGTCTCACTACTGGGAATTGTCCCGTGTACTTCCGCCCGGTTTTAATCCCCTGCCAGTGCGATTGAATTCACCCCTGTTAGTAGATATTTCCCCCCAGGCAAGAATCCATATTAGGAGGTACTTTTAGCACTTCGCTTATTCAAGATATGTTTTATTCATGGGGGCCGGGCAGGATGATGTGGTTATATCACACGCTACGCGACTTGGGTGAAAGATGTTTGCGCGCTTCATTTCCCATTTGTGACCTTTTGCAATTCTCGGGTTGCATTTGCCAAGCATGCTACCATTTTTCCGATCAGCCCACTGAACAGTGCTGTTTATCAAGCTTGTTTTGATGGGCAATAAGGATTGCAGTCTGCGTGTCCAAATGCAACCAAACGCATTCAGATGCAAGTGTCAATTCTTCATACTGCTATTGTGGTTTTGGGCGGTTGGTATCACTTCAGTGCATGCACGATTCCGCTTTTGGTTACTTGCTGTTCGGTTTGGTGACTGCTTCCTTTATCCTCGGTGTGAGCGCGTTCCGGTTGCACGGCTGCCTTGTCTCGCCAGTGGTGTAATGGCTGGGGGTCAGCTTCGCGTTTCTACCAAGCCGCATGTCCCGCGGCCGGGCCTCGGCCTGTCGCAGGGCTTGGGCTTACCCTCCCGGATGGACGAATCCACCAGGGATGGAAGAGCGTTCTGGTCACATCGTCCACCAACAAAAAAAAACGCCTGCAAAGTGACCGGGCGCGGTCAGTGTCGCCAGAGCCAAGGAACCTCGGCTCCGCCATTGAAGCCATCCCTGAGGACAAGCTGTCAGCGCAGGAGCCCTCCTTGCAGATTCGAGGCTACCACCGAGTGGAGAAGGAGGTGGAGCTGGTCAAAGAACTCTGAGATTTGCAGCTTTTGGTACAGAACGCGGCGCAGCCTCCAATCCAGCCTTGCAGAAGAGCCTCGTGAGTTGAGCCTGTTCCAGTGCCATGTCTCAAGTGACTCACTTCCTGTTGCAAGGCTGGGTCGATTCGGCAGGACGTTCCCTTTTTTTACAGTTCCCTTTCGTAGGCCGACCTAGGTGTTCGGGACTTGGCGTGATACCGCAAAGGTAGGTGATAGGGCTGGGCTGAATGGTGGCTCGGCGTGTGCTTCTTTTGTGACTCTTGCATATGTGTGTGTTCGAAGGCAAATGCCTTGCAACTATCAGAGACCCACCTCGCGCATGAACAGAGCAGCGAAAAGTAGTCAGAGACACTGCAAGCTTAAAGTGGGTGATAGCTGCAAGAAATACTTTGCCACACATGCCCACAAAGAAGTCCTCATTGGAAGGCGGGGCCAAGTTGACAAGCACCAGTGTAGTCTTGCACTTGCCTGGGCAACCCAAATCATGTAGAGTTGACAGGTTGATGCATGCTTGCGATGGTTTGCACTCGAAGGACCTCCTTCACATTGCAGCAGAGCGCTTCATCGCAGCAAGCCTAGAGTAAGAAGTCTTCGAAGATTGATGGACTGCCAACCATTGGTACAGAAAAAACAAGGGCCGTCACTTGGCTAGGCCAGCCTCTAAGGCCACTCCTTCAACACGCATTGGATGCCCAACCCCCCCCCCCCCCCTCTCCCCGCAGTCAGAAACTTCAGAATGCCCGCAACGAAGCAGGATGTTTTAGTCCGGCAGGTTGCGCTCGGTGCGGCAAAGGATTGCGAGGATTGGAAACGGGTGCAACTCCTTGAACGATTTTGCGGTTCAGACTGGTGAAGGCAGTCATCACAGTTCAGCTTTCGATCGAGCATGGCTTAGACTTGCATGGTCGTTCTCGAGCTAAATTTTGCGGCGGAACATGTGAGCAAAACAGCGCCTGGCGTCGGGCGAAACATGTGTTCTGCATCACGCGTGTCAGTGTGGTGTCAATCTCACGTAGCACTTCAACCGTGACCGTATGTGACTGACAAACTCGGTAAGCAGCAGCTAAAAAGCCGACACCCTGGGCCGCCCACTCTTCCTGCCTTTGGCAACCTGCTGAAGGAGTTTGAACCGAAGCATGGTTTGGCAAACCTGATCCGGGCAACACCGACCTTCATGACCGAGTTATGATTTGAGCCTTTCATTGTTGGGGGACAAAAGCAATGATGCAACTTTGTGACACAGTGTCGTATACATGTGACTTGGGAAATCCATGCTCGCAAGCGTTGAGCGAGCGCAAACAGGCCAACGTATTCCACGTAGCTGAGCGACTACGCTGTTGCACGCACAACTCCTGCAACCAAATCCGAACATCCACACAGGAAAACTGCCCGCAACAAATCAGCATCCGTATTCAGATCAAAACGGCTGCGCAAAAGCTTTGCCTGTAGGTCAAGGCACAGCTCGTTCTCAGAGTGCATTTGTGCCAAAGAATGGAAATTCCCAGGGCCAAAGGAATAAGTTGGCGAGCCGAAAAGCAAGTGATCGAGGCCAGACATGGCAAGTCAATGTTCCAGGCTTGGCATCCTCGAGTCCGCGCCCACATTTTGGCGAAGCACATCTCCCGTATTTGCTGGGCAGGGGGCGCAGAGGGCTGGGTTTCGGGCCTTGGCCTTGGTCAGAAGAGAAAGGGCGCGTGTTGGGGATCTGTTTTACTATCATGACCTCCCTGAGCACTGCCAGATGAGAAGTTTGGTTTCGAATAGTGATGTGTGCGCGTATCTTTGCTCAATGCTTCGAGCTATCCGTATTATCAGGTTAGCAAATGTCGAGGCATGAATTTGCAGCTTGAACAGCGGAAAGCATCCGGACAGGTGGTGAAAGCGCATTGGGTATGTGGCCTACGGTTGGGGATGGCAAGAGTGGCAGCTGTTCGTTTGCTATTCAGGGGGCCCTGAGCGGGTTCGAATGAATTGGTTTGAGGCTTTGTGGCGACTTGCGCCAAAGGGGGCAATGCGTGTAGCATCCAATTTCAGAACCCGTCTGTTAGAACCCATGCAATGGTGACCCAATATGGGGTTGCTCCTTTTGTGAAGACTGGTGCCATGTGCGGTTCAGTCACAGTTTCCGGCTCTCCATTTGGAAGGGGCATGAACTCACACCAAATACAAAACCTACGAGCCCCCAAAATTTCGACGGGGCTGGCTTGTGTTGAGGGTATTCCTTTCTGGTTTTAAAGTTTCACGGGGAACCAAAAGGAGAACCCAAATTAAAGGGCTCCAATTCCAAAAGCAAGAAACAAACGACGCCACTCCCCACATGCCAAGCGGAAAGACCGTGGCGCAGGCCTTTGCCAAGCTTGAGTTTCGCCACAAGATGCGGGGCAGCTCAGCGCAGCGTGTCTGGGGCCACGGCCAGGGGGGGTTTTCCAAGAAGCTGATCGGTGCAGGTGTCATAGGAGGCAGGGTACCCTTTGGGGGTTCCATTGGCCTCATGAAGTCAGCATGTTGTTGCTTCTGGGGACTATGAAAGTCAAGGGGGTGACTTCAACAAAGGTCATGGGGCCAGTCAAAGCACCCCAAAGACCACCTGATGTAGAGGACCTCACCCAAGATGCCAGCTGACTTGGAGCATCCGGACCCTTGTAAACATGTTGGTTTTTGGATGTGTCATGTAAGGATCCTCAAAGTTTGCATATCATTTCACGCAGATTCACCGAGGTTCACGGTTGCCCTGATCGACCGCTTGCAGCCTCACAACTTCGTGATCAGGCGGGAGCAGCCCCGTTGCAAGTAGATTGCAGTCACCTGCCTGTGCTGTGTGAAAAGCAATGCCAAATATATGGCAAGTGTCAAAATACGGAGCACAAAAGTTCGCTTTCAATGTGTTTTCTTTGCAGGCCAAAACCGGTACCGCCGAAAACGCACACACACACACACCCAAACACAGATTCCTGCAAGAGTCAGCCCGTATGCAGAGCAGCCTGGAGCACAGCAGGTTCTTACAGCCAGATCAGCTTCACGTGGGACACTCAGCGCGCCATGTCCTTTTCGGCTCCCGGCAAATGGTAGGGCAGTTCTGGGACTTTGCCTGGAGCTTTGGCGCCTCTCATAGCTGGAGCATTGTGCCAAGCTTGTCATGCAAAGGCGTTGCTTTGGTCAATCAACTGGATGATGAAGAAGAAGCCTGAGCCAGGGCCAGGTACTCAGGATACTGCTTGTCCCAGCTTTGCCAGAAATGTGTGCTTTGTCATTTGGCGTGGTAAATGCAAACCAGAAGTGAGTCCAAGTCGCTAGCTCAGGATTGAGACGGAAGGAAGGCGAGATGCGACTTGCCACGCCTCATCGATTGCGATCGAAGCCGAAGGTATCAGAAGACCTGGGGAGGACCAGCCCAGCTGATGAACCCCGAGAAAGAGTGGCGGTGGGCTCAGAGATTCGCCAACTTGCTGTGAAGGACATGATGACTTTTGAATCATCATAGTAGGTTTGCTTGGGAGAGAACATAGATGGTGGCATCAACTCTGCAGGTCTCTGGAAAAGACAAAGATCAACCTGGAGGCAAAGGTGATGGCCTTCATCAAAATGAGGCAGATGGGCGGGTTGAGTTACCTTCCTCATTCTGGAGCACATTTCAGCAGCTTCCAGTCAGATTGGATGCCTGCTCTTGCAAGGGAGTCGTGCGATCACGAATTCTTGACTTTCAGGTTCCAGTCAGTCTGGCATGCAGAGCTGAATCGACATGAGTCAACAAATCTTTGCGTGTTGAGTGACATTGACATTTGTGTGGTCGGCGCGATCTGTGCATAAGCCAGGTACCGACATGGCTCCTTGGCAAACAGAGTGGGACAACGCCTCTTGCACTGCCATTGCAAACAACCTTTGTTGCACAAACCTTGCATAGAACCGGGCGCCCGTTTTTCAGAGCGTTGTTTTGAGTCCTTTCCAGTGAACGGTTAGGCGTTTACATGGATTACACATACAGATGCATTGATTAATGAGCTCTGCTTGAGCTCAGCATCTGACTTTGCCTGCGGTAAGGCGCTGCATGTCCTCCGAAGACTTTGGAAGTACTGTAGATTTCGGTGCTTGCTTTGGACATCTCAGGTAAGGCACCCAAGATCGACGAGTTTGGCAAAGAGCGCATTCACAAAGTCACCATTGGGTGGTGCCGGCAGGTTTGAGTCAGGGAGCACGTGTGCTTCTCAAAAGGCTGAGTCAAAGTAGGGATGAATGTTGAGGACTCCAGAACAAAATTCGCCGCCGCAAAACACGTGGAACAGGGCTTCAGCAGCATATCAACTCGGTGTTGACCGGTTTTGTTTTGGCCGCGGGCTGATTTCCTCCGACCTGCGTTTTGGCATGGCCTTCGATTTATCCCGGGTGTTGCCATGGCTAGTATGCATTCATGAACATGCTGATGAGTACACGGCATTCCTGTACAGCGGCAGCTTCTCACTTCGGATGCTGACTGGCGTGTAGAGGCTCTCCCTTGGCTAACCGATTTTTCGGAGCCCACTTGCAGGGCTTGACAGCCTTGCCACTCGCTTTGTCAGGAGACTCGAGCCATACGTCGAGATTAGCGACAAGACTCCCGTGCCGAAAAGGATTGCCATAGGGTTTTTGGCTACAAAGGTGCTGGGATGCAAAAGATGGACAGAAGCACTTTGGATCACTGGTTGTGGAGAGTAACTTGCACTCAATCTCACCTTCTTTGGTACGAACAGATTGCTACAGGAGTTGTGCAGCATTCCTCCCGTCTATGATTCTTGAAGGAATGCAGTGATGCTGGAGAAGGCCATTGCCAGTGGCGAGGCAGGCTATGTGGGCTACGGCACGAAAAGACGAGGGCAGAGCACATTTGATATGAGCAGGGGGTTCTTGCAAATTGCATCAGGTTGGCCCAGATGTTCCAAACATCCGGCGCAAGAGTTCTGGCCGGCCAAAATGGAGCGTCACACGCTGGGCCCGGGGCTCAGGAAGATGCGGTCAAATGCTACGGTGCTTGCTTGGCCCACAGAAAGCTCAAAGCACTGCTTAGGTGGATGGCGACAAGCGCTTCACTGCCTTAACGCAGAGGGAGCGCATGAAAGAGCTTAAAGCAGCAAGTATGAAGCAGTTGGAGGCCGATGGCGCAGTGTCCAATGATTGATCCGAATGCCACAGACAGAAAAGTGATGTCATGCCACAGACCTAATGCCACCCGAAACTGCGCTGGCCATGTGCTGTTGTTCTAAGCACAAGCACGCAGACAAAACTATGCTAAGATAACAGGCTAGGGCATGCAGTTTCTTGATGCACTCACGCGACTCTTGGATCTGGCTCAGTTGTAGCTCCGTGGGTCGGTGGGTCGGCTGGTTGGTCGCTTGATCACTTTGTCGCTTGGTCACTTTGTCGCTTGGTCGCTTGGTCGCGCTCGCTTGGTCGCTTGGTCGCTTGGTTGCTTGGTCGGTCGGTCGGTCGCTCGGTTGGTTGGTTGGTTGATTGGTTGGTTGGTTGGATGGTGGGTTGGCTGGTTGGTTGGCTGGTTGGCTGGTTGGATGGTTGGTTGTTTTGTTTGGTTTAGCTCAGGGTAGTGGCCTGTGTGTTTTGTTTTGTTTGGTTTTGGTTTTGCTAGCTAGCTGGCTTGCTAGCTTGCTAGCTTGTTGCTAGCTTGCTAGCTTGCTAGCTTGCTAGCTTGCTAGCTTGCTAGCTTGCTAGCTTGCTTGCTTGCTAGCTTGCTTGCTTGCTTGCTTGCTTGCTTGCTTGCTTGCTTGCTTGCTTGCTTGCTTGCTTGCTTGCTTGCTTGCTTGCTTGTGCTTGCTTGTGCTTGCTTGTGCTTGCTTGCTTTGCTTTGCTTTGCTTTGCTTTGCTTTGCTTTGCTTTGCTTGCTTGCTTGCGCTTGCTTGCTTGCTTGCGCTTGCTTGCACGCTTGCTTGCGCGCTTGCTTGCGCGCTTGCTTGCGCGCTTGCTGGTGCTTGCTTGCTTGTGCTTGCTTGTGCTTGCTTGCCTGCCTGCTTGCCTGCCTGCTTGCCTGCTTGCCTGCTTGCCTGCTTGCCTGCTTGCCTGCTTGCTTGCCTGCTTGCCTGCTTGCCTGCTTGCCTGCTTGCCTGCTTGCCTGCTTGCCTGCTTGCCTGCTTGCCTGCTTGCCTGCTTGCTTGCCTGCTTGCTTGCCTGCTTGCCTGCTTGCCTGCTTGCCTGCTTGCCTGCTTGCCTGCTTGCTTGCCTGCTTGCCTGCTTGCCTGCTTGCCTGCTTGCCTGCCTGCCTGCTTGCCTGCTTGCCTGCTTGCTTGCCTGCTTGCCTGCTTGCCTGCTTGCCTGCTTGCCTGCCTGCCTGCTTGCCTGCTTGCCTGCTTGCCTGCTTGCCTGCCTGCCTGCTTGCCTGCCTGCCTGCTTGCCTGCTTGCCTGCTTGCCTGCCTGCCTGCTTGCCTGCCTGCCTGCTTGCCTGCCTGCCTGCCTGCCTGCTTGCTTGCTTGCTTGCTTGCTTGCTTGTTACACATTGTTCTTGCTTGTGCTTGCTTGTGCTTGCTTGTGCTTGCTTGTGCTTGCTTGTGCTTGCTTGTGCATGCTTGTGCTTGCTGCTTGCTTGCGCTTGCTTGCGCTTACTTGTGCTTGCTTGTGCTTGCTTGTTCTTGCTTGCGCTCGCTTGCAATTGCTTGTGCTTGCTTGCTCTTGTTTGTGCTTGCTTTAGTTTGCTTGTGCTTGCTTCTGCTTGCTTGTGCTTGCTTGTGCTTGCTTGTGCTTACTTGTGCTTGCCTGCTTTGTTTGTTTATTCGGTCGCTCGCGTGCTTTTGGTCTGCTATTGTCTTGGTTGGTCACTGTGTTATTTGGTGTGGCTGTGCATGCCACTGCCGTTGCTGCTGGATAACTTGCTGTGTCATGGTTAGTGCTGTCACTTTGCTGCTGCTGGTGTGGTGCCGGCGTTGTCGTTTGCTAGTTTGTCTGTGTCTCTTCCTGTTTCTGTGATGGTGCTTGTTTCGTTTGGGGGGGGGGCAAGCAGGGGCACGCGAATGAAAGGAATGCCGCATTGCAGACTCACATGTCAGACCTCATGCTACGTGCCTGCAAGCGCAGGCTGGGCAGAGCGGCCTGCTTGCAGTTATGGCATGCTTGTTGGCTGCTAGCGTTGCACGTGGACAGAGTAGTGGACAGAGTACTTGCATGCTTGTTTTACTGTCCGCAGTGGGAGGAGAGGCATGGTCAAAAGACATTGTACTTTCATTTTGGGAATTAGAGAGGCGAGCAGATGTTCTGGACCTGGCTGACATTCTGAGGAGATCTGGATGGGCAAGACGAGGCGAGTGGCATGCCAGTGCCACCTTGAACTGAGATGCAGATGGCTTTGAGCATTTGAGAGATTTACCCAGGGTCAATTTCGGGCCGTGGTTGCATTGTGAGGGGTTTTGAATTGTTGGCTTGGTTTCGCAACAATCCACCAGATCAAGGGTTTCACAAGGCCTAAATGGAATGTGGGGGTACGATTTCACCAAGTTTTAATTGAATTATACATGAGATTGAGGGCAGACTTGGTAGGTTGGCCTTCTGAGAGAGAAGTCTGAGACACCGGTATGATTCGACAGGGTCCTTGGGTTTCACACTCTTTCACATCAGTGATGGAGAACTCGTACGCAAATGCTTCCTAGGACCGGAAATATCTTCCAATATAAAATTCAACAATATATTTGATATGTTAAGTGAAATATACTCTGGAGCAGGCCATGTGTAAGATTCAAGGAAGGTTCCGGATCAGGAACGGGGTGGTCTGATGCAGGCTAGCAGGCAAGGAAGGTTCCAAGAGGTGGGGCAGCCTAGATTAGATAGGCTCTGGGGTGGTTCTGAGAACATTCCGCATGGTGCGCGAGCGTTTCGTTGGGTTTCGCGAGGGTTCCGTGAGGCGGTCCGGGCAGGTTCTGTGGAAAGGTTTGAACAAATTCTGCGAGGGCGGGTATAGTTCGGAGTTTTGTTTCACAGAGGATCGAAAAAGAGTGCTGCGTGTTCTTAGGATCTTATCTAGGTTGTTTATTTTTTTGTTTGGAAAGGATTATTCAAAGGAACGAATTTGTAAATGAAATTGCCGTGGCTGACTCATGGTGCCACCTCTGACCAGCATGAGTCATTATAAACAGGCCAATCAGTGGGAAACCGCCTCAAAAGCTTGCATCATAATCTAAACAACATTTAAGATGCTTGGGCTAAATACATGTGCCCACCTGGGAAACATCCCGATATCTAGCCGATTATCACTACTTGCCTATGGATTGCATACACTCCACATCCGCTTGCCGGGAAGAGGAGGATAACTATTTTGTTTTGTTTTGTTTTGGATCGGTGATTGATTCACTGCTTGATAATCTCATTTCTTTTACATTGCATTTACAAATTGTTTTCTTAGACTCCTATTTATAATTATTTATTTAAAATATATATATATAATAATGAATTATATGTAAAGAATAAATATATTGATTTAAATATTTTAATTATATATAAAATATAATATATATATATTATTTTCTATAATTAAGTGTTCGAAGAATATTTTTAATAATATAATTAATCGAGAATTTAATATAATTATTTAGGAATAATTCTATATATATATATTAAAAACATAAATAATAAATATAAATAAATAATTTAATTAATATGTATAATTTAAAATATTTCGAAAATTATATTCGAATATAAATATATAATATATTATCTAATTAATTTTTTGAATTTATTTAAAGAATATAAGAAGGATAAAATAATTATAATCGAAATAAAATATTAAAACTAAACAATAACATAAATACAAATACAAAAATAAAAATGAAAATAATAATAAAAACCGAGAAATAAAAAACCAAAGGAACAAAATAATCAAAACGATAAGAAAGATTTAATTAAATAATTAATTTATTTGATATAATATTTTTTTGATTATAATCTTTTTCATATATAATAGAAATTGTATTTATATATAATTTAATTAATTTGATATATTAAATTTTAAATATATATTTATTTATGATTTTAATAATATTATAAATTGATGAATAAATTAAATACCACTATATATAAATAATAAATATATAATAAATTTAATTTATTTATATATTTATTTTAAAATATATTTTGAAATTTTATATAAATTGATTTATATAATAAATATATATTGAAATTCATTTTAATAATCGATAATATAATAAATAATTTATTTTAGGATATTGATTCGAAATATTCGAATATATAAAAACCAAAATAGAATTCAATTATGAAATTTCATTTACCCATAATCTAATACCATTCTAAATATGGAAATTATAATAATTAGGTCTAAAAATGGGTATTTAACCTATTTATAAATATTATTTTAGAAATATATATGTTATTTTGAGGAAAATATATTTAGTAAAATTAAATTATATATTGTTTGATATATTTTTTTAAGAATAATTATATTTGATATATATATATATATTCTTTTAAAAATAAATACATAATAACTATTAATATTATTATTTGATATTTTTTTATTTTTTTTTTTATAGAATTAATATATGAATAACATATATCGTCTAGAATTATAATATATTATATATATTTAATGATTTTTTAGATTTTATAAATTATAATTTTGGAATTAGGATTTTTTTTCGATACCATTATATTAATAATTATTATTATAATTAATTTATAATTTAAATAGATTATTGTTGGTAACCAAGTTTAATGATTAACATTTCCCATCCCTATTAGTCCTAGTTAAATTGAATTGGCATCGAATTGGCGCCAAGCTAGCGCCGACCAATGTCAATCAATATTCACATGATATTTCAAAAAAACGATATTTAAAAAAGAAAATACAAAATATACAAAAATCACGAAATTCTAATTATGCCCCATAGGAAATATATACAATGTATATAATTAGAAATTTAAAATCTATTTATTTTCTTATATATTATTCATTTTTATTTTCATTATGGAAAATTCCGCAAAAATAAATTCAAGAATCAATTCAAAATGCACTTATTATATAAATTACAATATCATAAAAAATTAATTATCGGGCTACAATATCAAATTATAAGAAATCAATTTATTTATCGTAGGATCTCCCTATCCCAAATATTCCCAAATTCATTAAAATAAGAATAAAAATATGAATATACAAAAATCCCCCCCCAAAAAAAGACAATATTTCCCAAGGTGGTTTATTGGAAAATAAAGAAAGAGGTTAGAAGGAATTTATTATAGATTAGAATTGTATAGAAAATTAAGCAAGTAAAAATAGATTGTTACCAAAGAAGAAATTAGAAAAATTTAATTAAAACAAATTTAATAAAAATTAATTATGAATAAAACAAAAAATCATCTCCGGACAAAATAAAAATGAAATAAAACAGATATAAAATAGATATAAAACAATATAAATATATACCCAAAAAAAAAAGCATAATTTAGATTTCAAAATTATTCAAATATTATATTCGAATATTTTATATATATAATATTATTAAAATTTAAATTATAATTTAATATCCTTATATAAAACATATTATAATATTCATAATATTTATTAGTAATATATTTAACATATAAATAATATTATTTATTTATAAACATATTCTATTTAAATTTATAATATATATCATAAACAAATAAAAAATATAATAAAAATACAAACAAAAAGAGGAAATATAAAAGACAAATTAAGCAACACAACATAAAGAAAAAAAAAAAGAGAGACAAAAAGAGAGAAAAAAAAAAAAGAGAAAGAGAAAAAAAAAGAGAGAGAGAAAGAGACAGAAAGAAAGAAAGAGAGAAAAAGAGAGAGAAAAAAGAGAGAAAAAGAAGAAGGGAAGTAAGCAAACATCAATAAATATAAAAAGAAAAATAATTCGAATCGAAAAAGCGGCATACAACAACGTGGAAGTATGTCATTTTTGTGAACCGCCAAAACCAAATGCCAACAAACAAATAAATAAAGACAGAGACAAATATATATAGACATAGAAAAAAAAAAAACCGAACGACAGACACGGACACACAGAGATAAACAGAGACAAACCGAGATAATCCGAGAGACACAGACAGACAAACAAATAGAGACAGAGAGGCGCAAACACCAAAAAGCCGAGATTTGGTCCGGTATTTTTTTTTCGGAAGGCCATCAAATTCTAAAGAAATTTTACGGGGTAACATCCGGAAACCTAAGAGCCGCGTCGCCGCAAAAACGACCCACAATTCGGATACGTCGTAGAAACGCTAAGCAAAATTGTTAATTTCGGAACCTTCCAGGTCATACGAAGAGGCGGGAATTCGTGCCGTCGAGAAAAAAAAAGCTCGCCGCAAACACTACGATTCGGCCGGAATACCGCTATAACGGCTTACCGGTGCAAGAAAAATACGACCATTATATACAATATAATATATAATACTAGAAAAAAAAACATATTAATTCCATCAATAACAATATCGACAAAAAATTCAAAAAAAAGAAAGAGAAAGAGGGAGAAAAAAGAGGAACAAAAAAGAGACAAAAAGAAAAAGAAAAAAATCGAAAAAAACAAAATAAAAAAGAAATAATAATAAAAAACAACAAAGAAAAAATGGTTTTAAAACACAACAAAAATCAAAAACCGGAAGAAAAAAAAAAAGAGTAAAAAGAAAGAAAGAAAAAGAGAAAAAAAGAGAAAGAGAAAAAAAATGAGGGAAGCATAGAGAAAAAGAAAGAAACATAAAAAACAAATAAAATAAAGAGAAAAGGAAAAAAAAAACAAAACAAAAAAGAAAGAGAAAACACAGACCCATGGCAGGTAGAGTTGCTACTAACAGAAATGCCCGAGGTGGAAGGATTAGCTCCCCAAAAATGTCTCCGAATCCGGGCAAGACCAATTAATGCCCCAACAAAACCTAAGCAAATTATCCCTCATCCTATGGGCGATAAAGCGGCACCAGGGAGAAAAAGAGAGAGAGAAAGAAAAAGAAAGAGAAAGAGAGAAAGAGAGAAAGAGAGAAAGAGAGAGAGAGAAAAAAAGAGAAAGAGAGAGAAAGAGAAAGAAAGAGAAAGAGAGAGAGAAAGAGAGGGAGGCAAGCAGGCAGGCAAACAAGCAAAAACAATGGTAGTTAACAGATCCCGAAGGGTCCAAAAATGCGCTACACTAGAGAATACGAAGCCCACCGGGGTAGCCAAAAAAGGCACCCAAAGGTGGCAGGGTCCACGGGCCAAAACAATGGTAGCAACAATAAAAACGAAAAGCAACATAGAACGAAAAGAAGAAAGCGGAGTTTAAATCGAAAGGGGGAAATGCGGTACGCGGCAACGTGGAAGTGTGGCATCTTTGTGAACCGACACGCAGAAACCAGCGCAAACAGACAGAAAGATAAAGACAGAGACAAGTATAAACAGACATAGAGAAGCACAAAAAGACGCAAAGAAATAGAGACGAACGACAGACACGAACACATAGAGACAACCCGAGAGACAGAGAGACACAGACAGACAGATAGAGACACAGAGGCGCAAACACAAAAAACAGATTGGGATACACAGAGATGCACAAAGATAGACAGAGAAAGACAGAGATTACGAAACAGATAGATACGGACACACGGAAACAGACTGGGATACACAAACGGAGGCAAGAATACGGAGACACCCGGCACGAAATTTTCGACTCGGAGAGGTCCCCAAATTTCCCCGAAATTTGGCCCGGTATTTTTTTCCGGAAAGCCGCCAAATTCTGAAGAAATTTTGTGGGGGTAACGTCCGGAAACCTAAGAGCCGCGTCGCCGGAAGCGACCCACAAAAATTTGGCCGGGTTACGCCGCGGGAACTCTAAGCAAAGTTGTTAAGAACCCCCCGAAATTTCGGCAAAATTTCGGGGCCTTCCGGGCCACGCGAAGAGGCGGGAGCTCGTGCCGCGGACAAAAGACCGGGACAAGCATAGCCGCTCGCCGCAAGCACTACGATTCGGCCGGAGTACCGCTGCAACGGCTTGCCGGTGCACGGGAAATGCGACCTCGAGGCAATTAATATAATTATATGTAATGTAACATGTAATGCTAGAAAGAACCTATTAATTCCATCAAGGGCAATACCAACAAAAGACTTTAAAACAAAAAGAGAGAAAGAGAAAGAGGGAGAGAAAAGAGAACAAGAAAGAGACGGAGAAAAAGAGAAAAAAATCGAGAAAAAAAAACAACAAAAAAGAAATAATAATAAAACAACAATAAGAACAAAAAGATAACAAACAAAAAACGAAAACCAACATAGAGAAAAAACAATTAAAAAAGAGAGAGAGAGAGAGAAAGAGAAAAAAAGAGGAAAGATAAAAGGAGAAAGAGAGAAAGGGAGAGAGAAAGAGAGAGAGAGAGAGAAACAAAGAGAGAGAGAGAGAGAAAGAAATAGAGAGAGATAGAAAAAGAGAGAATGAAAGAGAGAAAGAAAGAGAGAGAAAGAAAAAGAGAAAGAGAGAGAGAGAGAGAGAGACCCATGGCAGGTGGAGTTGCTGCTAGCGGAAATGCCCGAGGTGGAGGCAATGGCTCCCCAAGGGTGCCTCCGGCCCCGGGCGAGACCAGTTGATGCCCCAACAGGACCTAGGCAAGCTATCCCTCATCCTGTGGGCGATAAAGCGGCACCAGGGAGACAAAGAAAGAGAAAGAGAGAAAGAGAGAAAGAGAGAGAAAGAGAGAGAGAGAGAGAGAGAGAAAGAGAGAGAGAAAGAGAGAGAGAGAGAGAGAAAGAGAGAGACAGAAACAGAGAGAGAGAGAAAGAGAGAGAGAGAGAGAGAGAGAAAGAGAAAGCGAGAAAGAGAGAGAGAGAAAGAGAGAGAGAGAGAGAAAAAGATAAAGAGAAAAAGACAGAGAGAGAGAGACAAAGAGAGGGAGGGAGGCAGGCAGGCAAGCAAGAGCAATGGTAACAACAATAAATATGAAAAGAAAGATAGATCGAATCGAAAGGGGGAAATGCGGCACGCGGCAACGTGGAAGTGTGCCATCTTTGTGAACCGACACGCAGAAACAAGCGCAGACAGACAGAAAGATAAAGACAGAGACAAGTATAGACAGACGTAGAGAGACACAAAAAGACGCAAAGAAATAGAGACGAACGACAGACACGGACACATAGAGACAAACAGAGACAAACCGAGACAACCCGAGAGACAGAGAGACACAGACAGACAGATAGAGACACAGAGGCGCAAACACCAAAAAGAAACAGATCGGGATACACAGAGATGCACAGAGATAGACAGAGAAAGACAGAGATTACGAAACAGATAGATACGGACACACGGAAACAGACTTGGGAGACACAGGGGGAGGCAAGGATACGGAGACACCCGGCACGAAATTTTCGAGAAATTTCGACTCGGACAGGTCCCGAAATTTCCCCGAAATGTGGCCCGGTATTTTTTTTGGAAAGCCGCCAAATTCTGAAGAAATTTGCAGGGGTAACGTCCGGAAACCTAAGAGCCGCGTCGCCGGAAGCGACCCACAATTCGGGAAAAATTGGCCGGGTTACGCCGCGGAAACTCTAAGCAAAGTTGTTAAGAACCCCCCGAAATTTCGGCAAAATTTCGGGGCCTTCCGGGCCACGCGAAGAGGCGGGAGCTCGTGCCGCGGACAAAAGACCGGGACAAGCATAGCCGCTCGCCGCAAGCACTACGATTCGGCCGGAGTACCGCTGCAACGGCTTGCCGGTGCACGGGAAATGCGACCTCGAGGCCGTACCGGTTTATAGGAGAATCATACATATATCTATATATATATATATATAGTAAATCAGTTATATATTAGATAAAATCACAAAATAATATTTTTAATATTCTAAGAATTCTATTTTAACCTATATCAGATATTGTTCAAATCTAATATATATATATATATATTTTTATATTTAATTTCAATTCGATCCAATATACTAAAATCCAATCCAAATATAAAGAAATCAAATAAAATCACTCCCTCCATACCCTACTCAAAAATACAATAATAATTTTAAGATAATCTTGTCATTCAATAATATTTGGAATATATATGTATAATTATAGTTCCATAAATAAAAATACATTTATCATATTTATCCAATAAAATCATGAATTATGATATAATTGACCCAGCCTAGCTTACCCGGTCAAACATACTACTCACGAATCACTAATGAACAGCCGTTATTCAACCGTTGTTCGAACATGTATTTACTCATCAGGACTAAATGTTTGTGAAAAACCTACACGCCATACTCATCTTAGGGCCCTCCAGGCGTTCTGTGGGAGTTAAGCATAGTTAAATGACCCTTCAAAGCTAAGTCATCTTTGTGAAGCCACCAACAAGCCGGTGAAATGCAAGCCCGATGAGTGGCGTGCTGGGCTGGGATGGTGCAGGTGGTCAACCCATAACAATTGTCGGGTTGAGCGATCCACTTTTCGATCTGTGCGCAACTTGGAACGAACTCACTTACGTCTATACACATAAGATCCTTCTATGAAGCCATTCTCGGATTAGCCCTTTGGGCGACGTCCGCCTTGGCATCCATCGATCTTGGGCACTAACCCTTGCCTTCTTTATCGACACGTGATTCAAGGCGAGACCAACCAACCGAGAGTAGCACCTTGATACCATCCACTAACTTCACCAGTTGTTTAGCAGAACCAATTCAACTTGCCCCAAGAATGTGCATCCACCCCCAATTCTTGTCCTGGTCGTCGCTCTGCGCTTCACGGATCCAAACTTAGAACCAGCTTTTGCAGGCACGCTGCCTGCAGCTCAAGCAGATCAGCTGAGGCATTCTTACCTTTGCGGTAGAAGCTTGTGTTCGGAATGGCATGCCACCCGCCGTCACGAAGCTCATAGCCCATTTGGCGCATCATCGCCAGGCGGAAATCCCAAATCATCTGATTGAGCATCTCGGCACCTCCGAATTCGCTCATCATCAGCTCACGGATTCTTTCCTCATCCTCCGGAACTGAACACCTCGCATGTTCGGTGAGAACTTGCAGGCTTTCCTTGCTTCTGCTTGATTGTGCCACGATGTAAGCAAAGGAACAGGCGGCTTTAGCTTGAACACCGTCCAAAGTGGCTTTCCCAATCTCGAAGACGCACCAAAGACGTTCATAGACCTCTGAAGCTGATGTATGTATCACGACCATTCCTCTCGCATCATCGAAGGCTGACTGGCTCATTGTTGATAAGACTCGGCCAAAGGGATCCAGCGCCAGCTGCTCTTGGATAGTGATAATTTCACCTGGCTGATACATCGAAAAAACACAAAACCAGCAAGCGGTGGCCTCCATGATCTTATAGCGTGCAAAATGCAACATCAACGCTTCAGAACACTCGTCAATGTCCTCCGCCCATGCATGTGAAATCATCAGTTCTGCTGCTAGTGGCTGACTATTCAGGAGCAATGCGACACTGTTGCCGGTGCCTCTGGTCCAAGGTTTGACGAAGTATTTGCAAATCTTGTACATGTCGACCTTCGCTTCTTGCAAGAGCACCTCATAGGCACTCGTGGCCTTACAGGCGCCCAGGAAACCATGGAACTGTGTTGCGGACATCGCCCACCTCTCGGGTGGCACCAGGCGATTTCCAGGTCCCTCCACGTGAAGCCAGAGGGGTCGTTCCGCCTCAAGGCCTATGCTCGGGGAAAGGAAGCCTGAGGCCTTTTTACGCGGCGAAGCACCAGCTTTGGGCGTTACCTCATCGGAGAGGGTGAATCTCGCCTGCTTCTTGTCCAGTCTTTTCATCGAACATGTGAAAAACTAAAGCTAGCCAATTTGAAACACACAGACTAAAGTGGTTGGACCGAAATGCAGCGCTTTGACAGCAAATTGAGATATGAAACACATGGAACCAACGCCGCATGGTTTCTCTTTGACATAAGTGGGTAGAGTATTCTCAGGATGTCAAGCTTGGACAGGTGCATCCTACAAAACTATTTGGATGTGGAAGAAAAGCAGGTTGATGAACACAAGGTTAAACGAACTGTCAATTCAAATTCATGTTGATATGTGCACCAAACTCAGTCAATGTACCCAAGAAACCCCCAGGCAAAAAGGTTGGGGAGATCATGCTCAGTAGGCAGTGGCCCTCTCAAGTGGCAGCAATGTAAGAGCAAGGGGAAGCACAGGCCATGCTGAAGTGTTCCAAAGTCTGCTCCTGTTTGTTGTGATCTTGATGCTCGAACCTCAACTTCACAAAAGCCAAATCCAACTTGGGCTGCTCTGCCTAGACCCAACGACCACTCCACCAATTTAACCCTTCTGCACCAATGCCTCGATCAAATGATGTTCAAATGGAATATCGTTTTGAACGAGTTCCCTATCGTTTTCAGCACACCATCGTGAATGCAGCACCTTGTTGCAAAGGTTGTCTCAACCAAAAAGATGCATTTATGTTAACACCGAATACCAACAAATGCAATACACAATGATGTTCTATGTTATTCACTGTATGGACAACACAAGCACGCATATACAACTATTTAATGCTGTATGTTCATACAATGGATGCATGAACAAATCGAAACAACCAATACGTTCACAACTATGTTAAAATGTTCAGTCATCGAATTGCACATATAACGTATCATACTTAAACTCAATGCCATGTTAGAATTCACATTTTACACGTGTCTCTTTGATGTATACCAAAGACTGCATAATACTCAAAGGAGAGGGAAACACAGTTTTGACAACAACGGGGGAACCCGGGACCTTAAAAGGAACGAACCCCTCCGTGACTGCGACCTCTCCCTTAACCTTGTGGGTAGCGCGAGCAACGCGCTCTTTTCAGCACTTGAGCCAAATGACATGCGGGCATGTCATCTGGGTCCTTGTCATGTTTGTACATCATGCAACTTGTTGTACCTCTGGGCCATAAATGTCATCGTGATAATTGACTCCCCCCTCATTGACGGCACTGAGGGAGTGTCTTGGGCGCATTACCACGCCAACTTGAAGTCAAGTTTACATCACAACGACTGACGCAAGTTATTCAAGCATCGCCCAGTCACTTGCACACTTTTGGAAATTTTGCAGACATGCTGCAGCGCACTAGGCAGCTGCTTTAGCGGATCTACTTTCACGAACGTCTTCAAGCTTCTCTGGAAGGTCAACACGAATGCCGAGCAACCGGATGGCATGGTCCCACTTGTTGGGTGGAAGTGCTTTCGTGAAGATGTCTGCTGACTGCATGTCGGTTTGGACGTATTCTATCGAGATGTGTTCGCTTTCAAGCTGCTCTGCGACGCACGCGGGGTTCACCTTGTGGGTGCGCTGGACACAGCGTAGCTTGGATGAGAAACCCTTCTTTGCTACGAGGATAGTCGCCTGGTTGTCCTCGTGGATCTTGAGATGGAATGGTCTGTCCAAGATCAGCTCCCATAAGCTGAGCGCAGGAAGCGCCTCCTGGTAAAGGGAGTACGCGAGAGATACGATCTCCGCCTCGGTTGTCGATCGGGAGACCGAGGTCTGCCTTTTAGACACCCACACAAGGGGGAAATGCGTATGCGGACCACTCAAAGTCAAGAATCCTCCGGACGTTGATTTTGCGTCTCGTTCTCCAGCGAAATCGGCGTCCACATAGAGAGACAGATGCAACTCACCAGTCGAATCCTGAACTGTGCCAACTAGCGTGCTGTTGACCGTGCTGTTTATGTAGCAGACAAGCCTATGTAGCTGCTTATCGCAGTTCCTAGACCATTTCTGAACAAATGAGGCAAGGTCGCCAATGGGCTTGACCAGGTCTGGGCGTGCCAAACGGCCGAGCCATAAGGCTTTCATCAACACGCGGCAAGCGGCGAAGCCGAGCTCACCCTCCAAGGCGTCATCTGCAGGATCAAGGGATCCAGCGGGACAGAATGGAGTGGTGGCATCACGCAACTTTTCAGTCTTTAGCTGTGCAACCTCAAGATATAATGCAACCGTTTGACGAGCATAATCCCGCATGTCGAACGCCATGCCCCCTTTCAATCTGCCCATTGCGGCATTAAGATCGGGTTCAGTTGGGTCCTTTGGAGCATCTATCAAAGGGTCATTCCTGCCTAGCACCCGATATATGTCTTCTGGGGGTTCTATATCAACCAGTCTTGTTAACTTTTCCCAGAAGTCTTTATGAAGGTGGCTGGGGCCGGCCAACGTCAAGTCGTCGTATGTCGAGAGAAGTAACCCGGACTCCTTGAACCAGAAGTTTCCAGGAAACTCTGCGACCTCACGCCCTCCAAGTTCACTAATGAAACCTTTGAGGTGTGCCTCCCAGAGCCCGCCAGCGTCAGGATGCCCATAAAGAGCTTTAACGAGCAAAACCACAGGTTTCACGAAACGCTCGCGCCACCACCTTGGCCGGAGCTCAGGCGGGAGTGTGATCCAAGTTTGGTACTTGGATTTCAGCAGTGCTTGCACATAAGCCTTTATAGCGTCCGCTGTTGTGGTGGAGTTCCCTGGCAGGGATCCATAAGCGAGACAGTTATTAAGACCTTGTACGCTCGTGGGATTTGCTCCCAACTCTTGGTAGACAGCTGCTGCGCCATGTTCGTCTTTCGCACAGTCTCCGCGATACACAATCCTACCTTTCATCTTCTGAAGGTGTTTCGCGAGTTCGGCGAACTTGACGGATGCTAGCGACATCAACTGCCCGAAATGGACTTTTATACTGGATCGTCGCGCCTCAGCAGCGACTTGATCATACTCTCGGACTGAATTTAGATCCCAAACACCGGCTTTCTCCAGGCCTGTGGCTTCAAGTCGAACGGCTTCAAGGGCTTCCGGGGAAGCCAACATTTCGGCACGTGACAAGAGTCTGGTCACCATTGCGGTGATCTCAGGATCCTTTTTCTCTTTGACTTGTCCTAGGGAATGTGCGATGAGATTTTCAACATCAAGAACTTGTTCAAGAATGTTGTGACACTTTTCATCGGACTCAACAGCAACACCTATGTCTTCCAAACCGGAGAGAGGGGATATGTGTTTTAGCTGCTGTTCACGTTCCCGGTGATCGAGAGGCAATGGCACTTGGACAGGCATCGCAGGCACCACGGGCTGAACTGTCGGATACAGCGCACGGGCAACTGTGAGACACATGCCTTCGGGGTAGAAAGCGGTCTTTGCGGTCTTGTTACCTGCTGCAAGCGAATGTTTATACCCTTTTTCGTGCGGACACTTGAATGCACCTAGCGCGGATGCGAGTGTGCTATTGCTGGTCATGACTTTCCATGGCTTCTTGATGGGATAACCATTGCTGTCCTTCAGACCTAGGGCGCAACCGTGGAAGGTCGCTGGGGTGAAGACTTGTGCGTATTCCCTAAAGAATGCAGAAACATCATCCCTAGCCCAGCTGTCGCAATCCCTTGGCCACTCAAACGAAACACTACCCCCCTGATGGAGGACAGTCTCTGCGTGACGTCTGAATCTGGAGAACAACTCTCTCGACTCTCTAACCTTTTGCTTCAGTTTCTTTTTGAACTGGCTTCCTAACTTGGCCTTATTAAGGCGTTGCCATGCTGAACCTGATGTGCAGGGGATTGCAGCCCAAAGATTGGGTTTATCACATCTCCTTCATCTGTGCTAAGGTCGATAAACTCTTTAGCCGTGTCTTCATGGCTGCCGCCGCAAACTCGACATTGTGGAGTATCATCATCTCCATCGGAGTCTGATGATGAGTCGGAGCTAGCGGCCGATGGCGCTTGTGGGGATGACGAGTACAACCCTCCCAACATTGTGATTGGTACTGGCGGAACACGAGTGCCGTCGCCAGCTTTTGGCGGAGGCGGCGCCCCTGCGAGGGGCGTGGGAGGCGCTGGAGGTGGTGCGGCCGGAGGCGGAGGTGGCGGAGCCACTTGATTAGCAACCAATTGGGAAAGCTGCTGAACCATTTCCGCTAAAGCCGTCACTTGCACTCTCACATCGGCTTGATCCCTTGTACCGTCTCTACCCAACCCGCTAGTCCTTGACGCACCGGGGGCTGCGTCTCCAACAGAGGACGCTGCTCCTAGCACTGCCGAATGACCTGCGAGATGTTGACTTGTTGCACCCCCACCAGGGTCCCTTGAATCAGCTGGGGCATCGTGACCAAGTCCTGAACTTTGAACAGAACCACACGGAGGGTCGGGGATATTACTTGTAAAAGCATTCCCTTGCGACGATGCGGCAACACCGGAGGCATCTTGTGAATCTGAAACCTGAGGTGCTCCAACCGGCTGATGGGTTCCTGGGGGAACTGTGCCCTGACTTGAGGCTTTAGCCGCGCTTGATTCCGTAGCTGTTTCGGCTATTGATGCGGCTTTTGGCGGGGACTCTTGAATCGGAACAGGGGTCGCACGAGCTTGTTGAGTGAGGTGCGCAACAACACGTTCGAGATCACCCAGTCGTTGATGCATCACAGAATTTTCCTGGGATAATCCACGAATGGTATGCTCTTGACTGGCAATGGTTTGTTCTCTTTGCGAGATTGCCTGTTGAGCCTCTTGAACAATGCGTTGAACCTCTTGCTGAGCGTCCTGTTGAGTGGCATTAGCAACCTGTCGTGCGTTCTCGACATGGCCAATGGCTTCCTGTCGTGTCTGCTCGATTAGTTGCCTAGCCTGAGCCTCACTTTGTTGTGCTGTTTGTACAGCCTGCTGTGCTTGCGAAGCTAGCTGAGCGGCCTGAACCCTAACGTCTGATACTTCTCTTACAGCCCTTTCCCTGATCCATCCGGCCTCTTGTCTCGCCTGGTCGGCGGCCTGCTGTTGGTGCAAGGCGTGATTGGCTGCCTGAGCAGCGAGGTCGGATGCTCGATGAACTCGGGGGTGATGATGGTCGTGTTTGGGCTGCTCGTTGAGGT